GCAAACCCAGTGGCGGGAGGGTCTGAGACAGGGCTGAGAAAGACGCTGTGCCTGCTCTCAGTCTGGGGTATGCAGACTCTCCCGGAACCCCACAGGGAGGGATATCCTGTGCTCTGAGAAATGATTAGGGGTGCTGAGGGATCTGAGGAAGGGGTACCGGACTCTGCCTGGAGCAGGAGGAAGCACTTTACAGAAGAAGCGGCTCTAAAGGAGGAGGAGAAAGAAGAAGGGAGAAGTTCCAGGGGGCAGGAACATGCAGGGGAGAGAGAGCACAGGATCTTCCCCTCCACTCCCCCACCCCCAAGTGACCAGGGACGAAGTTGGAGAGGCTCATGCCAGGGTTAGTAACTTGAATGCTAATACAGGATTTTAAAGCTCTACTATTTGCCTCCCCCCGCCCCTTCCAAGCATCTCTTGAATCCAAACTATCACATGGGGTAATATGGGATCCCCTACCTTCTAATATCTCCTCTAACCACATATAACCACTCCACAGCCCTGTCAGGCGTGTGTGTGTGTGTGTGTGTGTGTGTGTGTGTGTGTGTCTCTGAACTGCCAACCTCGATGACATTGGAGTCCGAGAAGCCAGGGAGGCGCTGATCCTTGCAGATGACCCCAGCGTCCTCATCGTGGGTACAGTCACTGTTTCCCCAGCCCCGGGAGGCACATTCAGTCACACTCCGCTCAGTCCCACTGCAGCTCAGGTTGTCCAGCCAGATGCGGCCTGTGGAAGGGGAGATGAGGGGACAGAGAAGGTTGGGGAGGTAGGATGAGGCAATGATGGGGATACTGGGGAGAGTGAGCATAATAGCCTCACACCTGGCCACGATGATCCCATTTTTCTGGTAAGTAAGCAGTGGAGAAGGGACAGGGGACCCTGGGAGGGGAATAGGAAAGGGGGCATAAGATTGGTGGAAGGTTGGTGGTGATCTGAGGATACTCAAGAATTTGATAGTATGAATAAAAAAAACCAAGAATCAACACTGAAGTTCTGATCAGTCCTTACCCACTCATTGATAGCTACGATTAATGAAGTACCTATTGTGTGCCAGGCGCTCAGCCATGGTGTGTACATACATGATCATTCTTAGAACAGAGCTGTCAAAAGACTGTTTTATATGAAGAAATGGGTTCAGAGAAGCTAAGTAACTTGCCTAAGACCACGCAGCCATGGGGGTTTAGGAGTTTGACCGGTCTGGCAATCTTGGAAACGTGGAAATCTAAGATCCTTTCACCTCACCCTTACATTCTCCCATGTGCCCATTCTGTCTGTGCTGAGATGTAGCCCCTTGTTCTTCTGTCTGCACCATATTCAACACCACTTACTTCCTCTCAGAATTGGATCGAACCTCAAAGGTCATCTGTCCCAGCCAATGTGCAGGGACCCCTCATTCATATCCTGACAGGACTTACCTGTTGGGACATCTACCTCCTGCCCTGTCAGCTATGTAACCATCAGTAAGTCCTTGTGACTTTTAATGATTTTCCCCTACCAGGTCTGATTCAGTCATTTGATACCACCCAGAAAAATCCCTCAGCCACATGACTGTTCTTCCCACATTTGAAGAAAACCATCATGTAATTACCATCTAAGGCTTTTTCTTTCCATACCAAACCCTTGGTTTCTTCAGCTATTCCTCCTTGAAACCTAGCTTCTGAATCTTTCACAGCTGGGTAGCACACCTCTGAAAGTATTTCCACTTTCTAGTGTACCTCTTAAAATACATCTACAACTGACACAATATTCCAGAGATGGTCTAAGCAGTGGGAATTGGGGTATCAGCAGCAGGTGGCACCCACTTCTGTCCATCAATGCCACTGTGGGTTTACCATGTCAGCTCCCCTAGGCCTCCGTGAGAACTGATCTTAAGCTCCTTCAGCCCACTCTCATACTTGTCCTAGGCTTTACAATTGTCGTTAGTTAGGTCCAACTTGTTAGTTTTAGTTCTGGCCCATAACCTGATTTTCTCAGCTGTGGTCCCTTCTGCCTTTGGGACATCCAGACATCATTTACCCACTCTCAGCCTCCCAAGAAACTAAATTTATTTATTTTTATTATCATTTAAAAATTTTTGAGACCAACTATATTTTAATTGTACAGGACTCATCTGTATCTGAACTGTCCTTGTGTATGGCTTTGTAGAATCATACTTTTGCAGCAGAAAGGAACTTAGAAATCATCTAGTCATTTTGCACATGGGGCATCTGAGACTCGGAGAAAGCACTGACTAGCCTAAGGTCACACAGCTCTGGGAAGTAACTATGTTCGTTGGTTTGTCATCCATAGGTTTACTTCACACTGTTCTTGGTGTCCTTTGTCCCTGTGGCTGTGCCATCCTGATGTTCCCTCTCCCTGCACTTAGGTAATACCTATGCTATGCTCACCTGTTCCAGGGCCATATTTGGCACTGTGAGTCCAGCCTGTGGCCTCTGTGAAGCCCAGCTCCCGGCAGAGGACATGGGCAGCCTGCAGCGTGAAGTCATCATCACAGATGGTGCCCCATTCACCAGCTCGCTGTATCTCCACACGGCCCTCGTAGGGCTTCCTGGGGAAGCCAGCCAGCCGGAACCGCAGCCCCTGGCTTCCGGCCATCTTCTCGGGACCCGTGGAAGGGGACGGAGACCCCAAGCAGGAGCTGCACAGCAGGCATACCAGCAGCCCCCGCAGGCTCCACTGCCAGACACTGACAGGCAGCATGGCAGGGAAGGCCTGGGTGCCTCAGAGAGAGAGAGAGACAGTGTGTGAGAGAAAATGAGATTGAAGGAGGCCCAGAGTCAGAGAGAGAGAGAAAGAGAGAGAGAGAGAGAGAGAGTCATGAAAGGAAAACAGACACTGAGTAAGACTGGAGACAGAAAGAGTCTCAGGGACAGAGAGAGGGAAAGAAAGAGAGAGAAAAACACTTAATAAAGGCAGAGAGACAGAGTCAAAGAGGCACAGCCTGAGAGACCCAGATGGTGGAGGGGGGTGGGGGAGGCAGACAGATAGACAATGTTCTCCCCGCCTTTTGCAGATAACAAAGTCCTCACGATTGTTATGTCCCACTGTGTCCTTCCCTAGCTCTGCCATCATCATCTCCATTACCACCACTCACCAGTCTGAGAGACCCAGAGATCAAAAGACAGTGATTAGAGACCAAGAGTCAGAGAATGGTCAAGATAAAGGGATAGAGACTGAGCAAGAGACACACATAGGAAGACCTAGACAGACAGGATATAAGAGGAAGGGAGCCTGTGGGAATGAAAGGGAGAAAAACAGAGAGCGCGACAACGTTGAAGATGGATAGAAGGTAATAGGCAAAGAAGAAAGCACACAGTACTGGGGAGGGAGAGAAGCAGACAACAAGTGAGGAGGAGGGGGTCTGGCAAGAGCCAGGTAGCAGATGTGGGAGGGACACAGATGACCCCATTTAGCAAGACAGACGACAGACAGCTGTACTGGTTGTGGAAAGAGGCAGGCAAGTGGGGGCCTAGGAGATCCTCGGATCTCAGATCCTTTAGATGGGAGTGGAGCCCAAAGTCCTATCTGGGCAAATTCTTGGGCCGGGAGGGCAGACACCAAAACAAAGTATGGAGAACCCGCAGCACACAGGCTCTCAGATGCCCTTTGAGGTCAAGGAGCCCAGGAGGGCCAGGCCTCAAGCTAGGCTGGAGGATGGAGTGGGGTTGTCCAAGCCTCCTGCCAACACCACCTTCGCTGTCACTGGGTAACTGGAATCCAGGGCACTATCAGCTCTCTGTCTGGGGCTTAGAACAGCCCCTTCACAGCGAGGGTTCGCCCTGAACATGCTTCCCCCAATCCAGGAAAAAACACATCAAGACAGCTTTGTTGTGGAGACATTTTGGCTTGGGGTGGGGTGGGGGTGGGCTAGAGCCTCACAGAGAAGCCCCAGTCTTAGAGCCCTCCTGGCTGCACTATTTGTAAGACCCTGCAGCGCCCACCCCCAATATCTGCCTCTTCTCTCCACTCTTCTTGTGTCTTACTTCCCTTTGACAAGAGTAAAACTCTCGGTTGACTTTCCCTCGACTCCCTCCCACACCACCGCTTTTCCCTGATCCCTCCACCATCCTCTCCATCCCCAACTTCACTTCCTCCGGCCTGGCTTGGCTGCGTGACTCTCCCTACCTTTGGCTGAGCAGGGCCTGGGAGAAGAGTCCTGGTCCTGAAGATCAGTCCTAGGACTTCCAAAGAAAAGTGCTCGGCCAGGGGAGATTGGACCACCCCCCCTCCCCTCTCTGCGTTCGTCCCTCCCACGTCCCCTAGAGCCCTCCCACATTCCGCCTTCTCCCTCCATTCCTCCTGGGCCAGTTCCGTCCTCTTCTGCTGGTCCTCCCCTCCCTCCTAGAGCTGGCCGCTGCCGCGCCACCTCCCCCCTCCCCCGACCCTCCGGGACGACTCAATGAAGCTTTCTTTTCCCATAGGTTGGAGGCCGGGCAGCTGCGGTCAGGCAGCTGGACTTGCAAGCGGCCACAGGGCGGCGGAGTGGCCCGGGCGGCGGCCCCTGTGGCGGCGGCCCCTGTGGCGGCAGGAAGCCTTCCAGCCCCTCCTCCAAGTCCCGGGCTTGACGGAGTGTAAACAGCTCAACCGGGGCGGGGCGCGGGGCGGGCCCGGCCAGGGCGACTGAAGTCCTGAGGGCTCACTTGGCCTCTCCGCTGCCCCAGGGTGCCCTGGGCACTTTCGGGGAGATGTCACCAACTTCACAGTGATGTTACGTTTGGTATATGACGTCACACGCAGCTCCGAAGCCCAGGCGCCAGGGCCCTCTGGCCGAAACCGCGAAGTTTCTCTTGGCGGATCGTTTGTGCGTATCCCAGGGCTGTGCGTAGGAGTCCAGAGATGGTCCGTCGCCCGGCTTATCTGAGGGCTGCCCCCCTTCCTTCTTGCTCCTTTCTCTCCCTCCTCAGCCCTACCGCAAGTTGTGGCCCACGGGGGAGGGGCAGGGGGCGGGTCGGGAACGCCTCCGGCGATTCCGGCCCCGCCCCTGGCCCCGCCTCCCGCTCGCTGGGCCAGGAAGCGCGGAAGAAACAGCCGGGGGCCATGGACGGAGCTGTGATGGAAGGGCCGCTCTTTTTGCAAAGTCAGCGCTTCGGGACCAAGGTAGTCGGGGGCAGGGGATGCCGAAACCCGTCAGGGCTGGAAGTGGGCGAAGGAGCCTAGAAAGAGGAAGGGGGCGGGCAGCGGGTTGCAGCGTGCCGCCGGGAGTTGGAGAGCCCCGTGGCGTTCTTGCGAAGTTGCTTTGCTTACTCTGGAGAAGCGTCTGCAGTCGCGGGTATGCTCTCTGGTTCTGGGAAGATGGAGCAGTATCCTCATTGGGAAACTTAGCCCCTCGTCGGGAAGTCCCCGAATCTAAATCGGCCTGTGCGCGTCCCGCCTTCCCCGTCAGGGCCCGGCCGCCAGCGTACAACCGCTCCCTCCCCAGCGGCTCTCGTTCTCTCCCCAGAGGTGGAGGAAGACCTGGGCCGTTCTCTACCCGGCTAGTCCCCATGGCGTGGCGCGGCTCGAGTTCTTTGACCACAAAGGGTCGAGCTTTGGAGGAGGCCGAGGGGGCTCGCGCCGCCTAGACTGCAAGGTGATCCGTCTGGCAGAATGTGTGAGCGTGGCCCCCGTGGCCGTGGAAAGCCCCCCTGAGCCTGGCGCCGCTGCCTTCCGCCTGGACACTGCGCAGCGCTCGCACCTGCTGGCAGCCGACGCGCCGTCCAGCGCCGCCTGGGTGCAGACGCTGTGTCGAAACGCCTTTCCGGTGAGGGGGCAAGAGCTGCAAGCTAGGGGTTGGGGTGAACAGCACTGGGCCCAAGGGGCGATGCGGGATGGGTGCAGTTACAGTGGCAGAGGAACCAGGTTACCGAGAGCCGCTTTGAGGGAATTCTAGGGTCCACGATGCTTTCTCTTTACTACAGAAAGGCACCTGGGCTCTGGCGCCTGCTGAGAACCCACCTAAGCTTTCCGCCCTGGAGATGCTGGAAAACTCGCTGTACAGCCCTACCTGGGAAGGTAGATACCTGAGAAGCCCAGGCAGGGATGGAGTGGGAAGAAGTGGCCTTGGGACAAGGTGGGTGATTAGAGGGTCCAAGGACCCATGGGGAAGTAGGAAGTCCCTGAGATGAGGTTTCCAAGTGAGTGTTTGGATGCTCTGCTCCGGAATTCTCTCGGTCCCCAATCTCTCCCTGCCCCAGTTGCCCGGCTAATTGTGTATTCCTTCCAGGATCCCAGTTCTGGGTAACTGTGCAGAGGACTGAGGCTGCCGAGCGCTGTGGACTGCATGGCTCCTACGTGCTGAGGGTAGAGGCTGAGAGGCTGACTCTCCTGACTGTGGGGGCCCAGAGTCAAATACTGGAGCCGCTCCTTTCCTGGCCCTACACTCTGTTGCGTCGCTATGGCCGGGACAAGGTGCAGGGGCTGTCAGGGAGGATTGTTGTGGGAGGCGGGGATGGGGGGGAGCTTTCTGGGTTGGGCAGCTGTGGGCAGGGTGGGGCAGGATAGGAAGGGAAGCTCTGCCCTTTGGATCCCCCTTCCTTGCCTACCCTATGACCCCACCTCCATCCCCAGGTAGTCTCTTCTTTGTAGATGTCCTAACTAGTTCAGGCCTTGTGACTCACCTCCTCTGATGGCTCCTAGTAATGTGTTTCCCTCCACACCCTCCTCAGGTCATGTTCTCTTTTGAGGCCGGCCGCCGCTGCCCCTGCGGCCCTGGAACCTTCACCTTCCAGACAGCACAAGGAAATGATATCTTTCAGGCAGTTGAGACTGCCATCCACCGGCAGAAGGCCCAGGGAAAGGCCGGACAGGGGCACGATGTTCTCAGAGCTGACTCCCATGAAGGGGAAGTGGCAGAGAGGAAGTTGGCTTCTCCTCCTGGCCCCCAGGAGCTCCAGGGCAGCCCTCCATCCCTGTATGCTGAGCCCTTAGACTCCCTGCGCATTCCTCCAGGCCCTTCCCAGGACTCCCTGTACTCAGACCCCCTGGACAGCACCCGTGCTCAGGCAGGGGAGGGAGTACAGTTGAAGAAACCTCTCTATTGGGACTTGTATGAGCATGTGCAGCAGCAGTTGCTGAAGGCCAAGCTGACAGACTCCAAAGAGGACCCCATCTATGATGAACCCGAGGGCTTGGCCCCAGTCCCTCCCCGGGGCCTTTATGATCTGCCTCAGGAGCCCAAGGATGCATGGTGGTGCCAAGCTCGGGTGAAGGAGGAGGGCTATGAGCTCCCCTACAACCCTGCCACTGATGACTATGCTGTGCCACCCCCTCGGAGCACAAAGCCCCTCCCAGCTCCCAAGCCCCAGGGCCTGGCCTTCCCTGAACCTGGTTCTGCAACTGGCAGTAGCAGCAAAGGCCACAGCTCAGACACTGCCCTGTATAGCCAGGTCCAGAAGAGCGTGGCCTCAGGGAGCTGGAACTGTGGGCTTTCTAGAGTAGGGAGCAACAGGACTGGGGTTAAGTCAGAAGGCTCTGCCTGAGAAGTAGGGCAAAGCTGTGGTTGTTGATAGGAGGAACATAGGGAGGTGGCACTGGGTACCAAAGAAGCCTGTTATAACCAGCGGGAACCAGAGGGCAGGAGGGGCACTAAGGGACCAGAGGGATCGGGGGAATCAATCCCAGGAAGTCTAGAAAGTGGAACAGATGACAGGGCTGAAGGATGGGTTCTTAGGAGGGTCAGCATCCCTAAGTTATCCCTCCTTCAAAGGAATGGAAGCCGCTGGACCACGTCTATGGGAAAAGGTACTTGGTCAGAGTGGGTGCAGTTTGAGGGGCCTTTTTGGAGACTGTAGGAAGATACTGGATTATGCCAGATCCTTGTCCCTGCACTGTTCTTTGCCAGAGATATAGTTTAAAAATTTTTTTATTCTCATTAAAGTCAGCCTGGGATTAAGAAGTCTATGTGTGTGAATAGACACAGAGGGGACACAGTGGCAAGGTGTGCTGGATGGGTGTGGAGGGGATGAAGGTGGAGAACCAGGAATGTGTTGGGGGCCACAGAAGGAGGAAGGGGCCCCAGGGAGGGAAGCTGATCAGTGTGGTGGTTCAGAGCTTGGGTAGCTGACCTTGGCTGGACTCTAGCTCTGTGACCCTGGGTGAGTTATATAACATCTGCAAACCTCAGTTTCCCCTGTTGCCACCTTATAAAATAGAAAAACTAATAATGGGATCTACCTCACAGGGTTGTTTGTATGAAATGAGATAAATTTCTCAAGTGCTTAGTGTAATTTGAAGCACAGAGTAAGCATTTTGTAAATGGTAGGTGTTATTATGGGGATGGAGGGACAGGAAGATGGACAGGTGTGGGGAGAGGAGGAAGGCAGTAGGTCTTTTTCACACCATCCTCGCCCCTTCTCCCCCCTGTTATGTATATGACAGCCTCCCCTCCCCACCCATACACTTTGCATCTAGGTACCAAGCACCAAGCACTTGGCTGTTTGGAGACTAAAGGGAACTGTAGTGTGGTGGGTGCATTGGGAAGGAATGAGGCTTGCATGTCAATCCTGCTTCTTTTTCATGAACTCTGAAAACCTCATCCTTGTTCCTGAGGCTCAGTTTCCTGCGGGTGACCTGACCCCATCCATCTGCTTACACAGAGCTACAAGGAGAAATTCTGGGCTGGGAATGCTCCTAACAATGATGGAGGCCTTCTGGGTGTTTAACCTTTATCTGTGTTAACTGTATCGAATGATCCAAGAGAACAAGAGTTCCTGCTGGAGGAGGGACAGGTTGGGGTGTGTCACTTCCTGGCCTGAGGAGTTGGGGAGGTGACAGCACTGAGGGCGGAGGAGGGAAAGGCTCTGTTTTCCAGTCACCCAGAGCACACACAGCCTCAGGTGGATAGAAGGCAGGTCTGACCACAGACAGCCATTGTGTAAGCCTTAGCACAGATGTGGTTGTACAGGACAGCTGGGCTCTGGCACTGGTGACTTAGGGTTCAGAAGGCAAGAAGGCAGCTTCTGAGGAAGGTTTGCTTGCTGCTGGCATCTTGGGGGCTCTGCCTGGGGCTGGAGTCATAAGCAGGGGGGCCACTGTCGCTCGAACTCGGTTGGTCTGCAACTGCCCAGCCTGCAAAGAGAGCAACCAGAGCCTTCTCTGAAGACCTGACAGAGTTCCTGAGTTTCTGTCCCCTTCCCTGTCGGGCCTCCTGTCCTAACTCTTTCACAAATTCCCATCCCTGGATTGACAGCTTCAAGGCCCGGGGCAGCAATGGTAGAATCCCCTGGGCTCCAGCCTCCCTAGTCCCGGTCTCCTTGTCCAGTGTCCCTCCCCTGTCAGGTTGCCCATCAGTGAACTTGTGGTGGGCTCTGCTCCCATACATCTGGTCACTGCTCCTACCTCTAGTTTGACTAGTTTGGAAACATCTTCTGTAAGTTTAGCTAAGACAAAATGGGAGTTACTGAGAAACTAGGAAAAAATCAATAAGAGCAAAAATAAACCCAAATATTATGAAACATGGATCTTAGAGCTGGCCTGTGGCTCACTTGGGATAGTGTGGTGCTAACACCAAGGCCACGGGTTTAGATCCCTATATAGGGATGGCCGGTTACCTCACTTGGGAGAGCGTGGTGCTGATAATACCGAGTCAAGGGTTAAGATCCCCTGACTGGTCATCTTTAAAAAAAAAAGAGTACATGGATCTCATAAAATACTTCTACACTCTCGATTACTCTTTTCTCTTCAATCCTAGTCACCAGAACCCTGTCTCCATGCTTCTATGCTTGGTCAGCCTCTCATTCCTCATCTGTAAAATGAGCCTAACACTTACCTTGCAGGGATGCTGTGAGAATTCAATGAGGAAAACATATGTGAAAGCACTTATAAAACCTGGCAAATGACTGGTGCTCTATAAATGTTAATTTCCCTTCCCTTGGGCATTTCTTTTCCCACCTTCCCTTCAGCATTTTCTTTCCAAGAGAGGGCTGTGGTTGTGGTTCCAACATAGCCAATTTGCTTAATGGGACAACTGTCTGTTAAGTGGCTAAGAGTTACCATAAACACTACAATTAAAACACCTAAACATTATCATATGTAAATGCCCAAGCAGACAAGCCTCCCTACCTGGTGGAGTTGTCATTTCCTTTGACTTGTTCTTCCTCCCTGTTGGTCTAGTTTTCCTCTCCACCAGAGGTGGGATTAGGGAGGAGGACTACTCCTTAGGATAGGAGTGGTGTTGGGGAGAGAGGCAGGGCTCTCTGGGACTCTGGGCATGAAGGGAGGGAGGGAAGGAGGGGCAAGAAGGAGGGGAGCTGTACCTTTCTCAGGGCCCGACTCTCCCAGTTTGGGTGGAGCCGCCCTTGAGGCTTGCCGAAGGTGCTGCTCAGGTGTGAGTACAAATGGCTCCCAACCTGCAAGGGGTTGTAAGTGGGCTCTAGCTCCAGGCTGTCCAGCATGCTCTGAGGAAGAGAGGAGGAAACTTCATCCAGGGAACTTGAGGTCATAGAACACAAGATGTCAGGCTGAGACACTGGAATGTGAGAAGCTGGGGGAGGTGTTAAGACCCAGGCTGCAGTGAAGGCTATGAGATAGATGCTCACTAGGGGTTCTGGCTCGAGGTGAGTGCTTGTGAGGTGTCAGGCAAGGGTACGAGAAGTAGGACCAACCCCAAGAGGTTAAGGACACTGAACACTCTGGCCTTGAGAAGTATGTCACTGGGTTCTGAGAGAAGCTGGAGTGCTGTGAGGGTTACAAGGGGTCCAGTGTGAGCGGCTGAGGGAGGGTGTGTCCTCGATTACATGGTTACAGGGCAGGGTGAGGGTACTCACAGGCTACAGGGTGAGTACACAGAGTTCTGCTGCAAGGTGAGCTGAGTGTAAAGGGAGGGACTTGGGAGCACAGCATTCCTGAGCAGTCAGGTTTTCCGGCCACAACATCCTGTGCCAGGAACCATTGGCCCCAAAGTGAGACGCTGAGCGAGCCACTGACACTTCTGCCCACCTCTGCCTGCATTCCCATGGCTGCCAAGCCGAGAGCACAATCCCAGGCTCTGTCCTTTCTGCACGTAAGTCAGTGATCCAGCAGCGATGTTGTTCCATTTCTCCCTGCCCAGAGCCACCCCTCCCACCGTTGGTCTGGGGAGATTAGCAGAGGAAATACAGACTCCAGATCCAAGGAAGGGATGGAGGAGCCAGAGGAGGAGGAGGAGGAGAAGAAAAAAGAGAAAATAACCTTCAGAGCTGTTCACTCCTTTGCATCTGACTCTCATTTCAAAGCCCTTCCTATTCTGGATGCCTACATTGGCTGCCTTTTCCTCTTTTTCTCAACAAACAGATGCACATAAACACATATAAAAGAATTAGACCCACATGAACACACCATCACACAGATGTGCACAGATGTATCCACACACTAAGGTACACATATGCTGCCACCAATCTAGAGACTCAAGCGCATACACACTCAGGGACACAGAAATAAACACATGAAGACATGAAACCCAATACGAAGGTTCATATTTCATCGTTATCTCCTTTTACTTCCTCCTCCTCTCTTCTTTTTTTTCTTCTGCCTTCCACCATGCCTTCTCCTTCCCCTTTCCTCCCAGATGTACTCCTCTCCCTTGTCTAACCTTACAATCTCCTCTCCATGGTGGAAGTGGGGATGGGAAGTGGGGGCAGGATAGCCAGCCAGCGCTAAGACAAAACCAGACCAGACCACATGAGAATCTAGCACATCACCTGGAGCTGGAACTGCCTGTGCTGTGACTTCCTCCCCTGCCTCCACTCACCCTTGCCTGCTACCGGGTTTGCCTTCTATGACACTTTGCCTTTTCTCCTTAGCAGCTTCCCTTGGTACTCATTTTAATCAGATTTCAGGAGTGTGTGGGCATGTGTGTCTTATTCTTCTCCGGGATGGCACTAGTTCCCAGTCATTTACTTATACCACTGACCCTTTTCTCTCCCAATTCTCTCTTCTCAAACCTCATTTCCCTCGTTAGTCTTCTGCTTCATTCCTCATCCTGCTGCCTTAATCTAAGCATTTGCTTCCTTCCACTGGCTTCATTTCCTATCCTTTCTTTCTTCTCTGACCCTCTTATCACACCCCTTGGGACCTTTCCTCCCTCCATTCCCCCATCTAGTCCCTCACCCCTTTCTTGAACTCCATTCACTTTCCTTCCCTGTATCTGTCCCATGAGATCTGGGCTCCACTTGCCTCCACAGTTTTAAGGCTGTCATCAGGTGGGTCCTCAGGTAGCAAGGGGAAGGGACTGGGCAGCACCAGTTCCCGCGTGGCCACCGCCTTCACCAGCAGAGTGAGGGAGCGTGATGGCATTATCACATAGAAGGTGTTTGCGGGGGCTCTGTGTCTGTGTCCTAGGCTCAGGGGTCCCCCTTTGGCCAACAGCAGCCAGTCTCTTTTCTGAAACAAGAACATACATAAATACTGGTTTATCTTCAGTCTTTAGCACTTTATGAGGATCAATCCCAACTGAGACTACCCTGGGTTCCTCTGGAGATGTCAGGGAGGGCTGAGCCATTTCACTTAGGCCCTGGGAGGGAGAGACATCCTGCCTGAATAACCAGTATCACAAGGTACTATTCTTCTTCCCTGGTCTGGGCTGTGCCAAAGAGAGTACACAAAAGGGTTAACAATGGTGAGACAGTTAAGAAATGTCCTTTAACTTAAAGTAGGTGTTCATCCCAGAGGGGTCTAATGGACTCTTCAATGGTAAATGTGGGGTTTTAAGAGTTATATTCTTAAAAATAGTTTTGAAACAGAGACTCATTTGGGGTGTTGTAGAAATTCAGGTCGTATTTTGATGGTGATAAGGTCTGGTTGTGTTGCTAATGACTGGGGTTAGAATGGGCTGACTGGGGAATATCCCTAGAATGCCCATGGAGGGTTTAAGAAGAAGGTGGTGAAAGCAGCCTGCAAAGCAAGAGGAGGAGGAGAGGGAAGGGAGAGGAAAACTTTGGTACAACAGATGTGTGGGGGACAGGGCCCTTGAGATCAACTCAGCCAATCCCAGGACAAAAAGAAGGGTCAGAATTCTGGGGCAGTGACTCTGTGCGTGAAGGGTGCAGTAGAACAGAAGGGTGGCACTTTGCCATGTGCCATGGAGATGACAGAGGTCAGTGCATGGGTAAGGAGAAGAGACAAACAGACTTATGAGCAGATTTTGTAGGCGCACCTTTTTTTTGGGCTGTTGGCCGGTACAGGAATCTGAACCTTTGACCTTGGTGGTGCAACCTTTTAAATCAGGCATGGAAATGAGGCAATTTTCTGTGGTAGGTTTTCAAGGAAAACCACAAAACTCCAGGAAATATGGAGTCAGAACTGTTACAATAATCTGTAAATTGTGTCCTCTTGCTGGGGGTGATCATCAGTTGCATCTGGTACAGACATTAACAGTCTGCTACATATGATGGAAGAACATACAATAGCTCTACACTCTAACTTATTTGAAAAGTTAGAAGAAGTAATTTAAGAGGAAAGACAAAAAGTGAAAAAAATAAGATTTTTTAAGGGTAAAGAAGAATATCAGTGTCTTGTGGAAGACAAGTGGAAAGTGACACAGGGAAGCAGAAAACACCTGCTGTATCATTAGAACTACACCTCAGAGAGGGCTGGCTGGAGTGTTAGCTCAGTTGGTTAGAGCTTGGTGTTATAATACCAAGGTCAAGGGTTCAGATCTCCATACAGGCCAACCACCAAAAAAAAAAAAAAAAGGAATGTTAAGAGTTATATCTCAGAGTGAATGTGCTGCGGGAGAGGAGGACTCTGGACACTTTAAAGCAGTGTCATCATTCTACTCAGCATAGAACTCTGAGGAGTTCCTATACCAGCAAGTGGTAAGAAGCCTGTTAATGTCTCTGTTCCAGTGGTTGGTGACATCCTTGTGGGGCAGGACTTGACTGATAATTCTGGAGGCATGATGTATCCTCACTAAAAGGTTTTAGGAGAGGGGTAGATGATGTGGGCAAGGGAAAATTAATCACAATCATAATTATAATCACAAACATTAATAGAATGCTTACCAGGCGCCGGGCACTGTGCTAAGAGCTTTATGGGTTCAGAAGTTCATGCTTTCTTAATATATTGCTTATATCTGGAGATGTGCTGTCTTTCTGAAGAATAGATTCAAAATGTGGTGGGAAGTCTGCCTGATGCTTATCAAATTCATCAAACTTGAATAAATTATATAGAAATCATGGTGTGCGTGGGGGGAATTTGCCCCTGCTCTGAGGTCATGGCCTCTTCAAGCCTGGAAGGGATAACTAGGAAGTTGCAGGGCACTCCATTTCAATTGGCTCAAGTTACTTCTGATGAGGCTCAGGATTGGGATTATTATTTTAATCTTCAGTTTACACTGGTTCATGCATTTGTGAATTAGTTTATTAAAAATTTATTGTCTATTATGTTTCAAGTATTAGGTGTGGATACATAGAAATTCATTAGACATATTCCTTGTGCTGTTGGAGTTAATAAAATAGTGAGGGGGAGGGTTGTAAACTAATGTTTGTCCAAGATTTGGGATGACAACTATTCTAGTTTGCCAGTTTTTTAGCACTAAAAGTCCTGCATCCCAGGAAACCCTTCAGTCATACTGGCAAACCAGTATGGTTGGTCACCCTTCAAAGACTTGACTGAGCATGAAATATCTTGCCACTGTGTGGCAAGATACTAGGGTCTAAAACTGGCAGTGTGACATTTCTTTCACCTCAGTGTTAAGAAACAAATTCATACCTGCCACATTGTGGGGTTACTGTGAATTTTTGAATGTTGCTGAAAACTTTTGACTAGAATTTTGACTAGTTGCTCATTTCCAGGAGTATGGTTGAGACAGGAGTAGAAGGAATAATTTTAGAGGCACTGTCATGGCCTCACCAGAAGGGCAGATGGGAGTTTATTCTAGCAGGGAGAAGCTCTAATCTCACCAAACCAGTATTCCCTTGGTCTGCCATCAATATGATGGCCTGGGACCAAATTCAATGTAATTAAAGAAGCACTGACCAACTCCTGAGTGGAGGAGAGTGCTTCAGAGGCAGCTACTGAGGGTGGGGAGGAGCAAGAGCTTTCGCATTCATTTTGCTTTGCTTATGGGAAGAGGCGCATTTCATTGGCATACTGCACTTAGGAAGAGAAACCACAGCTAGTATGGAAAAGTTATGCATACCTTGGGGTCTTTGGAAACTGGAAGGGCATCAGGAAGGAATTAGGTTAATTTGGCATTTGCTTCTTCTGTCACTCCAGAAAGGCAGGATCAGGAGGTGCAGAAAAAGAAGCTACAATTTCCACTCCTGTGCTACCTCTCACTGGGGATCCCAAAAGGGGATCAGGTGAAGATGGCAAAAGGGATTTCAAGCCCCAAAACAGCAGATGATACATCCCTCTCAAATGAACTTGGAAGTTCTCAGGATAGACCATGTTAGGCCCTAAAACAAGCTTCAGTAAATTTAAAAAGATTGAAATCATCTGAAGTATCTTCTCCAAGCACAGTGGAATGAAATTAGAAATCAATGACAAAATCAATTTGGGAAATTGACAAATATGTGAAAACTAAACAACATACTCCTAAATAATTAGGATCAAAGAAGAAATCACAAAGGAAATTGGAAAATAATTTGAGATAAATGAAAATGAAAATATAACATACCGAAACTTATGGATAGCTAAATCAGTGCTTAGAAGGAAATTTATAGCTGAAAACTCCTATATTAAAAAATAAAGGCGATCTCAAATCAATAAACTAACTGTCCACCTTAAAAAATTAGAAAAAGGAGAGCAAACTAAACCTAAAGCAAAGATAAGAAAGGAAATAAAAAATACTACAGCGGAAATAAATAAAATAGTGAAGACAAAAATGATAGAGAAAATCAATAAAACAAAAAGTTCGTTCTTTAAAAAAAACAAAATTGACAAACTTTTAGCTAGACTGATCAAGTAAAGAGGAGAGAATACCCAAGTTACTAAAATCAGAAATAAAAGAGGGGACATGCTACTGATCTTGCAGAAATAAAAAGGATTGTAAGAGAATATTGTAAACAATTGTATGCTGACAGATCAGATAACCTAGATGAAATGGCTATATTCCTAGAAAGACATAAACTACTGAGACTGACTCAAGAAGAAATAGGTAATCTGGATAAATCTGTGTTGGGGGTCCTCAAGCCCACTTCCAAGTTTGGTGATTCACTAGGAGGACTCACAGGACTCAGCATATAGTTATATTCATGGATATGACTTATTACAGCAAAGGGATACAAAGCAAAATCAACATTTGACAAAATCTAACATCCATTCATATTGAAAACTCTCAACAAATTAGAAATAGAGCCAAACTTCCTCAACCTGATAAAAGCCTCTATAAAAAACCCACAGCTAACCTCATATGTAGGGGTGAAAGACTTGATGCTTTGCCCCTAAGATCAGGAACAAGTCAAAGATGTCTGCTCTTGCCACTTCTATTCAACATTTTACTGGAGGTATGTTGAAGACCAAAGGGCCATTTCTTATATTTTCTGGACTGTGCTGAGTCCCTGGGATTCTGGGGACCCTAGGATTTTGGATATGACCCTAGTGGGAGAGGGGGTCATATCCATCGATATGACCCATAAAGATATTGAGAGTGTCAACCTTCTGGCACTTGGGAACTAATATTTTGTAAATTTGATTTAGAAAATATAGTAATGTGACATTTCTTACATCAGAGAGTTATGGTGCAAATTCATACTGCTTATCAGTGCTGTGAAGGTCAAGATAAATGTGGCAACAGGTACATAGGTGAGGAAGGACAAAAAAGACGAGTAGAAGCAGGCTGTGGAGGGGGGGTGGGTAGGAAAGGCTTCATCATGAAGGCGTTTAAACAGAATCTGGAAAAAAAATGAGTAGATATTTATCAGGTGGACAGAAGTAAGGGGAAGGGAGCAGCATGAATAAAGGTGTAGAGGTGTGAAACAGTTTAGTATGTTCAGGAAACATTTAGTAGTTTATTGGTGTGGCTGGAGTGGAGGATGGAAGGGGCTTGGTGAAAGATGAAGCAAGAGTAGACAAGACTGGGTCACAGAAAGCCCGCTGACCCCATACTAGCCACTGTCCAACACTCGTCTATTTCCCCTGCAGACTCTGCATGCTAATCTCATTCTGTTTTCTTTTTTTAAAAAAATGGTTCCTGACCTGCCATCACCCCACTCTCAGATCGGATTCTTATTCTTGAGTTTTCGTCTATATAACCAAGGATTTTCCATTTCCCCACCCATTTACAGCCCAACCAGCTCATTGCCTATGTACTTAGACTCCTGCTGGACATATCCTGCCTTGAATTCTATCACTTATGTAGCCAATTAGGGCAGACATGGCCTGTAAAGCTCTGGAATGAGACTCTGACATTTTAAGTAGGAAACTGAAAGACCTAGGTG